TTGCGTCTACAATACAAACTTGACAATGAGTTTGAGCTGGTGTTTGTTGTAGCATACCAAAAAATATTACAATTGTCCTATGTAGATAAATTTTTAAACGACATCCATTTGGAATTTAGAGACAGATTTAAAAATGAATTGGAAAGGTCTCAATGGTTTTATAATTTTGAATTTCAAAGTAATTATGAGAATATACTTGCTTTGGCTGAACAATGGGCACGAACACAGGCAAAAATACCCAAACAAATGCGTACATTTGATGAGAGTCAAAAATCCAAAAAGACTGTGGCTAGCATGATTGAACGGAAGGATGATAAAGATAATAAAAAACAGGGTATGTAATGGGTATTACAATACTTAAATCTTAGTTTAATAGCTGTTATGTTTATTTCGAGCATCTTGATTACATGTTCTTATTTCTTGTATTATTTTTCTTATGTTATACTGGGAAATTTGAAAAATATTCTTGCTATCCTTTTTAGAATAATTTGTGGACTAATTTGCAATTTATAAAGTTGAGGATAACTTCTAAAGAGATGTTTACTTGTTTCTGATCTTATCAGTATTATAAGTTGTTGAGTAAATCTGTCTAGGACTTTATATAGAATCACAAGCAATTTTCATTTAGGTAGTAATATGTCCTTTCCAATGTGGGTATCACTAACAGGATATGGGGATCTTATTCTTCGCTTCTAGGTAAAAGGAAGAAAGGACTTAATACTAATAAAGATGATCAAAGTAAGTGGCTTTGGTTTCACATGCAATAGAGTTACTTGCATGAATTGTTGTCTATTAACAATATTAACAGTAGCCAGACTTACAGAAGAATTTAATTTTTCTGAGTAACTTTCGCTTTCTAACATAACTAAAATGTAGTTGCTGCAATTTGTTAAAGATTGCATACGTTCTGCAATTAACTTTAATGTTTTAATCATTCCCATTTGATTCTTCAGTAAAAGTTCAGGAGGTTCCAAAACAGGATCTACAGAATAACCAAACGAATAATCATAATCATAATGGGGAGATAGATGAAGAAGTTCTAATCGCGAACCGTTTAAAATTGGCTCAGAAACTGAGCGGTCAAAAAAAGAAAGTTGATAAGCAGTAGGTTTTCTACAGTAGAAATTAATAAAATCCGCGGTATTTTCAAAGTTAAAGCAATGGCAATTTACATTTTGTAGGAAGAGCCCTAAACCGGAGAAGGCTGGCAAGAAACCTCGTGTGTGGGAATTAGGTGGGACCACCAAGGACCTAGCTATCTTAGAACGCACCAAAGATAAGCCAGAAGAAAGCGGAGATTACGTTGCAGCTGATACAACAGTAATCCAATGCTTTCCAATATTCCAATATTTTTATTCGAGCACCTGTTACTTTCGCACCTCACACACTATTTCGTATCGGTTTGTAGTTAGTGGGACGGATGAAGGGTGGTATTCGCGACTTAGAAGTAGAAAGCGAATCGGAGGACGAATCCGACCAGGAAATTGTGAATTCCAAACCGCAAGTACAAAAGAAATCTGGTAGTATGTTCTCCATGTTCAAGAGCTTGGTTGGCAATAAGAGCTTGAAACACGACGACATGGCCCCGGTTTTGGACAAGCTGAAGGATCACCTGATCTCGAAGAACGTAGCAGCTGATATCGCTCAAAAGTTGTGCAGCTCTGTTGGCGTGAAATTAGAGGGGAAGGTACTGGGTACGTTCGATAGTGTGGCGAGCACCATCAAAGCGAGCCTAACCGACGCACTAGTGCAAATATTGTCCCCGAAGAGGCGCGTCGACATTTTACGAGATGCGATGGAAGCTAAAAGAAATAAGAGACCATATGTGATGACCTTCTGTGGCGTTAACGGGGTAGGAAAGTCGACGAATCTTGCGAAGATCTGTTTCTGGCTGATCGAGAACAATTTCCGTGTTCTGATTGCTGCGTGCGACACTTTCAGGTACACCATGTCTTCTCTGCTTACCGCGACAACTAATGGTGAAATAAAATTCTGTAATTGGTAATTGGATTTCAGAGCTGGCGCGGTTGAACAGCTGAGAACTCACACGCGCCATTTGAACGCTCTGCATCCGCCAGAGAAACACGGGAATCAAACTATGGTTCAACTCTATGAAAAAGGATACGGCAAAGACGCGGCTGGCATCGCAATGGAGGCGATTCGTTTTGCCAAAGACTCGAAGATTGACGTGGTCTTGGTGGACACTGCCGGCAGAATGCAAGACAATGAGCCGCTGATGAGAGCCTTAGCCAAGTTGATCAAAGTGAACGAGCCGGATTTGGTTCTTTTCGTCGGCGAAGCTCTTGTTGGGAACGAAGCTGTCGATCAATTAGTAAAATTCAATCAAGCGTTAGCTGATCATAGTCAATCTAACAATCCTCATATCATTGACGGGATCGTGTTGACTAAATTTGATACAATCGATGATAAGGTTAGGCACCATACGGAACGCTGAAGCCTCTTATCAATGATATCGTGATTCTGTAACTCGTTGACATTTATCGGCGGATACTTTGTTACAGGTTGGCGCGGCGATTTCTATGACGTACATTACCGGGCAACCAATCGTTTTCGTTGGCACCGGACAAACGTACACGGACCTGAAATCATTGAACGCGAAAGCTGTAGTACACGCCCTGATGAAATAATTGTTGATTCTATTAATAAAATATTGAACTTGATCATTCTGAGAGATTTTGTGGATTGTTATTGACAGATTCAGGATTGCGTACCATTTATTGCTACTATCATTATTATGAACATTATTATTATTAAGACGATATACAGAAATTTAAAACATGCGATCATGTCGAGAGATTTATTGTTCTTGATGCCTTGGCGATTACACACTTCAATTGAAACTAAGAAACATTCGTACACTCATAGACACATCATACACGCGTAACAAAAGCTTGACGATCTGGCAAACTCCGTTGTGCAATTTCCAGATGCATTCGTACATTATATTACATCGAATCTGTTTATGTTACAAATTATTTACTGTATAAATTTATAGAAAGTTTTCTAAAAAATATAAATAATGTCAATAAAAACATTGTACAGAACGTTGTAGTCTGTTGCATGTTGCTTTCCCGGTAAACGATTACGTGTATTTGTCGATGTATGTATTGGTCTCAAGTGTTTTCGTTTTTAGACGTGTTGTTTCCTATATTATCGCCACCCCCGCTTGTTTGCCCCGGTGCTACCTGTTGATCGCGCGCATCTATTGGGCTGTCCTTCGCACGAAGATAAAATATATTGCACAATTCAACGAAAAATGGTATTGTATAACTGCCTGGCGAGTTGCAAAACATTTTATGAACAAAGAACAGACTTCCGCTTCTTATGCAGTTAATAAAAACATCTGCATTCAGATTGTAGCCATCGGCAACTGATCACCGGAGTTGTTTCCATCTTTGACTGTCGATTCGTGCGATGACTCTTCTTCTAGCTCCCAATGCGCCTCGTCGTCGAACTTCTGTTCTTCAGATATCGAGCCGCATACCGATAAACGCATTATTAAGCCTGTGATGCAATTTATATTCATTAACTTCAAAGTGAAACTGAAAGCGCCTTCCGTTATTTATAATCGTTTATTGCCGTTTCAAAGAGGATTAAAATAAAAACCGAACGCGAAAGCTACTAAATTGGAAATAAAGCTTCAATTAAGTTTCTGATACGATTACCTGTCACTAATCCTGATACAATCGCAATTCCCAGAGTAATCGCTAGTGCTAATAATTGATAACCAGCCTGTTGTGCCGCCGTTCTATTCTGACCAGGCCGTATACCATAATTGTCTCTCATCTCGGCTACCTTTGCGTCGGAGCTCGGCGCTCTCGCTGGAAAGATCTAGTCAAAGAACAGTAAAACAATTAACAAAACTAACAAATGCGAATTACAACTCATAACTAACCCTCTACACTCTATAGGTAACTCTCAGACTTTAATACAGTAGAATCATAAAGTTCAATATTCAATAGAAAACTTCGTATACTCTGCCATTAAGTGAAATATTAAAATAAACTAATTTCCCTTACTTTACATGCCAATTACCTTTAAGTCAGTTTAAAAAGAACATCTGTATCTCATCGCAAAACTTCGAACATTTCTTTACAAAAACCTTAGAGTGCAATTGAACGGAATGAGAAATTCCAAATTCCGCGGACACGAAACGTCAATAAAAATGGCGGACACAGGGACAGGGGAAGGCCGAACCGGAAGGGCTCAGGTCTCGTGGACCGGAATAACAATCGCGAAATTTCTTGCGAACGGCGACTGAAATGTTCATTTCACGGTTAATAGATTAAGCAATTGTTGGTTTTTGCGAGCTTCGCCCTCGCGGACAAGTTCTCTGCCATTCAGCCCAGTTCGAAACTGAACTCGTGGGCCGCCGTGCCCTGCCGGTCCGGCATACTTAGCGAAGTATCCCTTACGAAGTTAATTACCCGAGCAGCCGGCCGATTAATCCCTGTAACGGCGCGGGAGGGCTGCCCGGTCCGTCGGAAGTTACGTACCTCGTAAAGGGAATAATCGTAAGAGGCTTCCGTGGCCAAGCCAGCCATCAGCGCGCCGAAAATGCCGGCCAGGACGCCCGGCATCCCGTGCAGGTTATGGACACCGCACGTGTCGTGTATGCGGAGATGCTTCTGTATCATCGGCTGGAACAAAAATTCGCGGCGGAGCCGCTCGAGGTTACGCGAGCAAAAAAATACTTCCTTCTTCCGGGCCGGTATTTGGGTCAGACGGGAGACCGTCGAGTCTAATCTAGAATAATGACAGCGGAGGGGAATTGAACGTAGTCGAAGCGTGGTCTGGAAGCTGAGGGTTGGTTGACTTTAGCCGCTTTTCTTCATCTTCAACGATTGAGAAGGCCAATGATTTTATTCGACTTTAGGAACTCCATAGTAGTGATTATCGGATACTAAGTAATTTTTAGGAATGTTTCTTTGGGAAAGATGATAGAAGTCAAATCTGAGGGATAGCTTTTCTAATTTTGTTGAGTTTCAAGTGATTGCTAGGGCATTTAGAGGATCTGTACGAGCTGAATCCGTTGAAGACTGTTTGGAAATTGGGCACAGGAAACATTTGTATCGCGAAGGATTATCTTCCATGTATATTTTGTCGAAACTCGCGCGATCTCGTGTTAGTTTAATTTCGCGTCTGTAATACAGTTCTTTTAGAGATATTGTTTCGCTCGAATAAAATTTTCCCCGAGCCCGCTTTATATCTCGTATTCCGCACACTGTAATATGGATTTCTCGAGCCTATATAAATTTATCGTACGAAATAAAATTTTATTTCCCGTCGCACTAAAACTTTCGACAAGCTTATCTTGTCATGAATTATTGCTGCGAGCGGAAGTCCTCTTTTGAAAAGTTATCGCCGAAGTTACTGGTAATTAAAATTTCGTTCGCGTGGGAATAATTCGCGGGACACGAGCCGCGTGTAAATTCCAAATAATTACTAATAATAACAGACGTAAAATATACGACTGCCGTCCAGTCCGGATTTTTCACACGAACCCTTCGCGCGCACGTTTTTCTGATACCGGTGTATTTAGTGTTATGCTCCTCGGCGAGTGACCCTGCCGCGGGAAACGCTGATCTACGTGGACGTTAAACCAACAGGAAAATAGCAGGCCAGGAAAATCTAAGTGGATGATACGCAACGGCGTTGAAACAACGACTACTTTTATTTTTCTGTTTCTGAGCAGCCGCGGCTATCGCGGAAAATATCGTTATCGCGGGCGGCATCGATTTTTCGGCAGCAAAAAGAGTATCAGTCTCCACTACAGCAGAATAAATACGTGGATACACAGTTCGCTTTATTATTCTCTTATCAAAAAAATTCATCGCGAAGCTCGCATATCTAAATAATTGGAGCTCTTAAAAACAAAGTTGCACGCGAATTGTTATTGCTCACTGAAAAATACTCGACGCTTAAAAACAAAAGATTTTCCATGGAATACGAGAAGTGCATTGGAACGTTCCTTTCGAAATTTTAACATACACTCGTTTCATAACAATTTATGAAACATTAAATCCACATCTTAATTACTCGTTACTCTACTGTCTATTACAAAGCTTTTCAACATTGAAATTCAATCATATTCCAAAATCTTGATGCGACCTCAATAAACTCTATCCTTTAAAACACCACCTTCCACAATCATTCCAACAATTCGCTCAACGCCAAAATTCACTAAAGATCCTCCTATAACTCAAAGAACCCCATAAATGACCATTCACGATTACGTCAAGGTTGAAACGAAGCCGCAGGTTGAACCACCGGTATCCAATTTACAATTGAGAATTCCTCGTTGATGCTTAACGATCCATAAAAAAATCGATCGGATCTGGAAATTCAATCAAAGCACTGTATTAGCAATCGAAACGTTTCTCGCAGTGCCGCGCCGCGCCGTGAGGAACGGGCTGGAACATAAAAGATGGAGGACGTTGGAGAGCGAGGGAAGGAGAGAAACGGAAAGAGAAAGCTTTCGAGTCGCGCGAGTGCCGGCTCGATAAGCGTCAACGGGTTCGTTAAACTTCGCGTTTTTCATTCCAGCCGTTTCTCTTATTTCACCGGTCGCCACTCGAACGGAACGACGCCTGCCTCCACCTCATTCGCTTTCGCCACCAGCCAGCCGCTTTTGTTCGAGAATCTATTTGCTTGAATCTTTTAACGATACCGCGAAGTGCCTCTTGGGCTCTCGCGGTTCCCGAAGAAATCCGGCGGTGTCTCCTGCCTCTGTATCGGCGCGCGAATCGCCGGAACGGAGGCTTTTCCCTCCGCCTTAATGGCGAATCGTTAATTAATGCGCTCGAACCGCACTCGATCCGCGGCGGCCGGGCCTCAGGGCGAAAGTTCCACGGCCGAAGAAGCGCGAACCGGAAAGAACAAAGTACATAAAGAATATGGAACCGCGGGGCTGAATGAATCGGCCGGACGATTAAAAGAACTTCCCGCGAAACTTTTTTCTAGGCGATCGTCGATTCTTATAGAGTTCCTTTCATGAGTCAATAGGAAACGGTTTGGCGTAGCGAATGTAAGGGAGGAAGGTTTCACCACTCTTGGTCACCGCTTGATTCCATACAGCAAAATTATGAAGCTTTGTGTGTAATGTTAACTTTTGGTATTGAGAAGTCACTTCTAGAGCGACATGTTAAACGTAATATTGAAATCACTGAGTGATGGTTAAGTTTTGTGTAATGCAATAATATATGTAATGTTCAGATAAAATATCTGTGTTTTTTCATTTATATAACGTTTTTTGTTAGTTTTGAAGGATGTCGCATATATCTCATGGGAAAGGGTTGAGTATTTCTAATGAACATGA